CGTCTCTATGAACCATGAGACGCATTGAGCTTTCTGTTGTGGTGTCCACATCCTCACTTATAACTTTTCAGCCTATTGAAAAAAGAACTTTATTAGCTGCAGTAATACATGCAAAAGACAGAATAAAAATATCTTGTTTATGTTCGAAGTTTTGAATTTTTGAAGTTGTAAAGATAATTTTGGAACACCCTGTATATCACCAGCAGTGAGGGATGATAATCCATTAAAGAATAACGAAACATTTATTCTGTATGGAAATTAAGTGACATCTGATGGTTGAAATGAATTTCCGTATGTGAACAGCTGGTAACCCCTCGTGGGTGTACTTCGATTGGGGTCTGGAGGTCAATCTATGCCAGCTCCAGGTGAGAATGAACGACGTTTGAATAATGGTATACGTACTAATTACGGTGATCCAACTATTGTGAACCTGACAAAGGCTGGGGCATATGGGACAGTTGCCCCGGGCCCCACATCAGAGGAGGGCCACAAATCGAAACGAAAGTTTATTTTAGGTTTCCTTTATTGGTGAACTTTTTTCAAACAAGATATCAGTAAAGTGTAAAATCCGTCAGTTTTATGTTAGCTTTTTCTTTAATCTATCGTATGAACACAAAAAAAATCTATATTTCGTAAATCCATGTCTTTCTAGTGCGGAATTCAGCTAAATTTTCGCAATTGCGATGGCACAATAGGGCAATCAAAAGCTTGTATTTTTACATGTAGCAAAATGCAATATATTTACAAAAATACAGGTTTCTGAAAGGCTTAATTGAGCAATTGTATTTGGGAAATTTACCTGAATCCCGCCCTAATGTCAGCGAGGATATGATTTTTCACATCTAGATGACGAAGTTAACAATCAGAAAACGGTATTCGGCATGATGGACATAGAATTGTCAGAAAATCAATAAAATGGACCGAGCGATATTTCGTCTGAGCATTGAAAGGGGAGGGGGACTTTATAGCAATTTCATTGTTATCTATGTATAATAAGGGGGGGGATTTAAATACCTACATAAAGTCTAAATCTTCATTACTGAAGTAGTGATTACCCCAATTAGCCTAAGTCGGGCCCTGTCATTATTTGATAAAGATAGTGCTGTTAGCTGTATGGAAGGAAAGCACTAGCGTTGTTGCCCTCACTATGATATATTTTGGTTGTAACGTTTTTTTTTTATCGTAACTAGTCCCTTTAGGACTTTTTTCTCATTTATTTAATAAACGTCGTTTTAATAAACGTTAATTCGTTTTTTTATAACTTAAAATGCATATTTTTAAGTAGTATGGTAATTGAGTAAATTCTACTTTCAGTTATACAGGTAAAATATCCCATGCGGTAAACTGAGGTCCTAAATGACTAAATTTTTTGAACAGTGAAACACAACGAATGCACTAATTTTGATTAATAGTACTAACCGGTACAATACATCTCAGAGTTAATGTTTTCAATCACAGGAACAAAGGAAACCAGGCCAAATCATGAAGAGAACCCTGGTGTCCGTTGTTCCTGCGAGATACATTTCAGTGAGCGGGTATCTGGATACTTTTGGCCTGTTAGTGTACGAACATCCCATTGTTAAAACTCAGTAATACATCAATAGATGGCTTTAGATCGTTAATCGTAAATATACAATTCGTTCTCATCGTTTTGAAATACTAAAATAAACCAAATGATGTTTTTAAATCGTCGGTCGTATAAAAATATTTAGAAACAGAGTATTTAAGCATTTCCAAATGCTTAAATTATCTGTTTACATAAAAAAATTATACGTAGAGTGTTGATCCAAAACAATATTTTCAAATTGCTAATAAACCTTATAATACATTGATTGATATGTTTCAACTGTGTAAACTGTACATTGTAAAAAAAAATATTTCGCATCGTTAAAAAACACTACAATATCTATCTTATGTCTTCAAATCATTGAGAGTAAGAATAAATTTCACAATGGCTGAAAACACTATAATATGTCAAAAATGTATTCAACTCGTTGATTGTAAAAATAAATCTTCCATCGCTGAAAACTTTTATAACATAATGATTGATGCTTTTAAATTTTTGATCGAAACATTTCCTCGTAAAATTCTCTCACCCTACAATTATCAGTATCGATATGTAACAAAAGTATCACTAATTTTGGCGAGGATCATATTTTATGGCAGATTTTCGGTTTTCATTTCACTGTCTCTCATACAAAAATCATCAAACTCGGTAAATGGCAGTCTGCAACAAGGGTGAAGTAAGTTTATGTAGCAAGTTGATGCCAAAAATTAGGACATTATTATCAGTTTTTAAATATGTAATTTTTTGAGCCTTGAAGACACCCTTAACGAATGAAGAGACACAATTGCTTACTCATTCAGTGGACAATCGTAGAATCAACTGCTTAATTTAAAAATTTTCCTGCGTACCAAAAATCATGTTTTCATTACATAGCATTATATTTGTTTAGTTTTAAAAAGAAGAAAGCTACATATCCTCTAGCAATAGTTATATAATAGGACAAAACATGATGAGTACAGCTGAATGGAAAATGTCTCCAGGAAAAATAAAATAAAATCAATAACTGAAAAATGAGTTCTGTTTATTCCGAATAAGTATTTATATGGTTCTTGTATTGTTTTAAAATTTATCTTTGCACGCAAATTGTCGGTTTAGTTTATTAAGATTAAAATTATTACAAGGAAATATTTAATACTAGGAGGCTTCGCCCCCTGCTCGCTGGCGCTCGCCTACCCCCGGAATTGCTTTCGCAGTTCATTTCGGGGATACGTTCTTAACGTCTAGCTTTTGTATACTTTTTTGAACACTGAAGTTTCGAAAACTTTAACTGTAGAAAATTCTAAACCTGTGCATTTCAATATTAATTTGAAATTGCAAACAGTTCACATATTTTTCTTAATCACACTATTCTAAATTTCAGTTGTTGAGAAAAGTAACTTTTGAAAGCTTTGTTTTAAAGTCCTTCCCACCAGAGGGCTAAAACCATGTGTTGTAAAACAATATGAAATAGTACTGAACGCCGGATGTAAAGCATCGGCTTCGATGAAGATAATTTTGTGAGAATTTTTTTGATAATTTGGTGAGAATTCACCCGATTAGACATATGATATGGTCACTACGTGCTCTTGCACGCCGAAGCCTATCAATTAAAACGTATTAGCGTTTTATATAATATAGATTAGCCATATGATGCTCACTACGTGCTCTTGTGCGCCGAAGCCTATCAAATAAAAATGAAAACTGTTGCCAAACCGAGGAAAGAAATATCATCGGTTTTATTGATACATACGTATTAGCGTTTTATATAATATAGATAATTGCGAGGTAATAAACAAAGTGTTGGCAATAAAAAGTAACTAAAAATAATCCCTTTTTTTAAAATCAGAACGATAAGTAATTTAAGCCTTTGTTTCCGAATAATTATCAACAGCAATTATTTTCGCACTAAGTCTGTGATCAGGAAATAGGAAGTTCTAGCAATAACAGTTCACTGAATAACGCCCCGAAGGATATACAATACTGTCTATCTATATACTAAAATTAGGCACTTGCACTTCAAGAAGAAGGAGATCACAGATACCCACACACATGACCTATAACGTCAGCAAAAGCTGAGAGGTTTATAAGCAAAATGGAGTTTTAAGTTGAGCTAAGTTTCTCCACATAAGTAAGAATGTTAATTAATGTGAAGTAAATAAAATACAGTGTTGTATCGCTCATCAAAATTGCTGAAATATAATTCTTTCTCGCCTACGTCTTTTCTTAACTTAGATTTATTATTTGTTTAAATATTTTTATTGTAACCGTGATACATTTTTGTTTTGTGTACCTGGCAACTTCGGCGCATCATTAGTTTGTTTATGTTCCACATGGTTTCCTGCCTGCCTTTGTGTTAAGTAAGAAATATATAGTGAAAGAATTGAAATATTTGTAAAAGAATGTATAGAATCTGTCACTTAAGAGAATTGATACTTGATCGGTTTAGTTCATTCGAAATAGAATGGAAAGAACAGTTGCTAACGCAAACAGATGCCACGTTTCAACAGCCAATCAGGATTGAGGTACCCACAATACGTCACTTGCTGGTATCCCAAGAAGATGATTTAAACATTTCAGTTGAACAAAAAAAAATATAATAGCGAAAACATTTTTTTTTAAAACTAAAATGCTGAATCAGAAATTGGGCAATTTTAACTTATATACGATTTAGTAGTAAGAGACTTCATAATTCAAGCTCCTTTCGAAATAAGTTAACAAAAACTAAAATATATGCACTTATTCTCTCCGCTTTAACGAGCGTTGTTTGCTAATTGTACATTGTTTCAAAATTACCTAAGAGAGACTCTATTTTTGTGTCAATGGAGGAAGTTCAGAAGATAAATCGACGAATTCTTCGAAATGAAGGGTAAAAACAATAAGAATGAAATGAACCCAAAAGTTAAAACAAATTAAGTTTTTTTTTTAAAGTGATAACATCAAGAACTGCTTATTTCTTTATTGCTAATATCCGAAACAAAAATCACATTTGGGTGCTTGCAACTTAAGAAGTGAAGAGATTATGCCTAACCATGTGACTTAAATTAGACAAAATTGCACACCTGTAAGACTGTGCACACTGAATCGACATATGCCATGATTTACCATTAATGACGTCATTTGCAGATATTCAAATGAGTATTTTTTGCAAGAGATGACACCATATCCTCTTGAGATTCAGTGTCTAATGTAGTGGCCAACAATCGTAACAATTCTATCACTTAAATAATATTTGAAGATTATTTTCTGCTTGGATGCGTTTGCAAAGCAATTTTTTAATGCAAAAATGTTGTTGGATTTACGCTTGTTGGTCTGAGTTTAAAACTATGAAAAATATTATAAGAAGGATCAGATATTCTATTCGAGTGACTTTTAGGACAGTTTTATTAGAATCCCTAAATTAGATAGAAGAGCCTTAAGTTTTATGAGATGTCTAAGCTGATGTCACTTTACTTACCTGTCCACTGGCAAACCATCAATAACCAACCAGTCAGGTAGCAACCAATAAGAATACGCTTGTTTTGGAATGGGAATATGTATCGTCCAATAAGAATAGCTCATTCATAACCACAAAATTATGACAATTGATTTATTTTATCCACTCCAGGATGTAGTTCAGCCTCTGGCTCAGACATCAGTATTATTTGAGTCTGGATTTTGTTTCATGACTGAAATATGAAGAAAAAAAACTATAAAAATATCCTACAAAATGTAAAAATGCATAACGTTATAATTTTTTAAGTAATAATTTTAAAAAAAAATTTAAAAAAACCTCATAAGTTTAATGAATTTTTTTTTAAATATTTCATTGCGTCTGAGATTATATTAAACTACACATCGTATTTTCCGCCATCATTTGAATGTCAGAGAATATACATATTTAGACCGATCAGGCAAAAAAAAAATAATTTCAGTGATAGATGCCTACAGAATGATGTCACAATCACAAACTCCCATAAGAATGTATTATTTTGTTTATGAACAAAGAGTTTAATGTTAACAATAAAATGCGACGGTAACCAAAATATTTAAGATCACCCAAAATGCTCTCAATCCTAACAACAGACTTAATGGTAAGTGACATCATAATTCGTGTCGAAATGATAAGTGTTCGCAAAATCCGAAAAAAAATGTATGTCATTCTCTCCACTCTAATGGAGGTTGTTCGCAAATTGTCAGTTGGGTTGCTTCCAAGATACTTACGAGACACAATCTGAGGCAACAAACAAAGTTTTCTGGCGAAGAAACCGATGACTTCTGCTGAAACTGGGAGAGAAAAATCAATGAAAGCGAAACGAACTTTCAACAGCCGGCAAGCGGGTCACCCTTCTGGTGGTCGGGTCGTGCCGCCATTATTCCACCCAGTGATCATCAGGCGGCCAATACACAATAAGACAGAAGCCATTCATTTTCTTGGCAGAGGGAAGTTTCTAAAAGTTGCAGTTGAAGTTAACGCTTTTTTTTATTTTATTCTTTAACAAATCATCGTCGATGATCGTTAGAGAAATCATTGCCTTTGGCTCATTCTTTCTGATGGGGGTGGATTGCTACCCTCCGGGTGTTCGGCATAGAATTTTTATACCTCAACTTCCATTCAAGTAACAGTGGTAGAAACCGGTATACAATGCTTGGTAGTGTACTACTACTAAGTTATGGTTGAATGTTTAGCACACATTCTGAGGGACTGGGTTTCAAACATACGAGCATGCAGCACTTTGGCTAGTTCATACAGAATTTTTATACCCCAACTTCCATTCAAGTAACAGTGGTAAAAACCGGTATACAATGCTTGGTAGTGTACTACTACTAAGTTATGGTTGAATGCTTAGCACACATTCTGAGGGACTGGGTTTCAAACATACGAGCATGCAGCACTTTGGCTAGTTCATATAGAATTTTTATACCCCAACTTCCATTCAAGTAACAGTGGTAAAAACCGGTATACAATGCTTGGTAGTGTACTACTACTAAGTTATGGTTGAATGTTTAGCACACATTCTGAGGGACTGGGTTTCAAACATACGAGCATGCAGCACTTAGGCTAGTTCATAAAGAATTTTTATACCTCAACTTCCATTCAAGTAACAGTGATAAAAACCGGTATACAATGCCGTTTAGCTTCGTAGTGTGCTACTACTAAGTTATGGTTGAATGTTAGTACACTTTCTGATGAGGTGCTTTTCAAACATGCGAGCATGCAGCACTTCTTTTAGTTCATCTAAAATTTGTCAAAACCCATCTTGCATCCGAATAACATTGGCAGGAACCGGTTTGTAATGCTGCTTAGCTTGAAAGGGTGCTGCTACTAAGTTATGGTTGAATGTCAGCACACTTCCTAGTGTGGTGGTTTGACAACTATCCGAACATTCAACACTTTGGCAAGTTTATATTGAACTTTTTATACTCCATTTTGCTATTGGTACACATTAGTAGAAACTAATTTGTAATGCAGTAATGTATCTGTTTAGCTTAAAAGATTATTGCCACTAGGGTTTTACGTTACGTTAACATTGTAATCTCCAATCATTCTTTTTATGGAGTGTGTAAATAGAAACATATAAAATCAAAATGTAACAAAGTATATAGCGCTCGCCTCTGAAACATTCTATACATACTCGATTTCTCGATTTAGGGCTATTGTTATTAAATACTCAATAGAGAATAAAACTTGATCGTGGGTGAATCATTGGGGCAATTGGTGAGGATTATAACATGGTTTTTTTCACCTTGCGAAGCGTACGAAAAATAAGTGATAGTGAGTTTGTCAAAATCAATTATCTCTGAAGTGGTTGATGCAATTCTGGGTATAATAAGGTGCAATCTCATAGGCTAAAATAATGAATAATAATCGTTAAATTTAGAATGAATGAACATTAATTTTGTTTCCTTACTTTGTGATTATGTTTAGCTATGACTTAAAGCATTAATTTCTATGGGGACTGCATCCTTTAAAAATGGTTTTTAAAATTGTTAAATCATTTCAATTTTAAAAGAAGTAGAATTTATTTAATGTAAGTAGCATATTGGGTTGGCTTCTAAGTTCCCGACATTTATTTAGACGTTTTTTTAAACTCTCTGGCCAGTTCTTTTGTCGAGTCGTTTACTCGCTTTTTACCGAACTTAATCAAACGAAGAAAGACTTTGAGGTCAACATTTACATTTTTAACCTCAGAAAGTCAAGAGCAGTTCGTTCTAGCCATACTACAGTGGGGATAGCAGTTATCGACAATGTCAACCATCATCTATCAAAAGAATCGAGTTAACATGTCTTATATATTAGTGAATTGGAATTGTATTTCTGTAGTGGTAGACACACTACAGTACTCCCCCCCCCAGTTTTATCTGTGATAGAATTCGATGAACGGATACCGCTAGTTAATTCATTGCTGTTTTGTAAGAAGCCGAGAGAGCTGTATTAAGATCACCGTACTTTTGAGTGCTGTTCGTGAGAGCTGTATTAGGTTCACTGTCGTGGACGCTCCCATGTTGCCATTAGCAGTCGAGTGTATGCAGGCCGACGTTGTGTGTGATCGAGACTGAGTAGCAACAGCGCAAGGAGGTGGATAATGTCACAAGTAGCAATTCAACTATTCAATGTGGACCATCCATCTAAGTAGGCGTGCTCACATCGAAGTGGGAGTTTCAGTCAAGGTAAGCGTTTTCCCATCACGTCCGGGTCACCATTGTGGAGAGGGTTGTTATCGACAATGTCAACCTTCATCTATGAAAATGTACCCCAACATGGAATCGAGTTAATATGTCTTATATACTAGTGAATTGGAATTGTATTTTTGTAGATGCAGACACATTGCACAACTGCTACGAGTTGTATTTGTAATAAAAATGTCTCATTTTTCTCATCTTGGCATTCCATTTTAACGATATGAAAATTAAATAAATTAACTCGAACAAAAATGTAATACACAAATTCCGGTAGAACAAAAGATGCTCTTTAGAATAATTTGAAACATTATGGCACGCAGAATGTAAAAAATAGCAAAAGCCCGTAAAAAAGTAATTGCCAAGAAAATATTTAGATTACTTTTACTTTTTAGGGTTATCTCCAAGAGTCAAGGGTCGAGCAATAGTTCAAAAAGTGGTAGTGCTAGAATTTTGGGTACCCCAAACTTCCTCCCATAATCATTCTTCATCAGAATGGGCAATCTGCTTAAAACATTTATTCACTAATCCAAATACTTGTCGAATAAAAGAATTATAAAACATTGAGACTAGTTGCCTTAATACTTAATGCGTAAGTATCAATTATTTACTCAAATATTTTAAAGTAGTATCTTATGTAAGTATTAAATTTAAAATGTAAAGGACATGACTTATAGAACAAAATTAGCAAATATTGAAAACGGCCAGTAGCCAGTTCTTGCATACAGTGGTCACCTTTTCAAAAATAGAAAAAATTATACTTATTAATAATTAAGGCATTTTTCAAAAAAATATTTTTAAAAATATTTTAAACATTTACATGATCTATTTAAAAAATGAAGAAAAATTTTAAAAAATAAAGAAGTTTTCAGAATAGTATAAAATATCTATAATTGGGTCATTCTCACTAAAAAGGTATAAATGGACTAAAATTTCTTAAATTAAAGTAATTAAAAAAGTGATAAAAATTACATAAATGTCTCTGTCTATTTTTGTTATATGTCCTTATAATAATGGTCAAGTTTTCTATTTTATTTTTTACAAGATTTAAAATATTTTAAATTCTGCCTTGTCCACGGAGGAGATGTAATAGTCAACGGAGGAGACATTTTATGTTATAAAATATAAAATGTCAATGAAGACTAATTCATTAATTATTGGGCACAACTGATATGAGTTTAACATTAATAAGTAAATATTAAAATATATTTCATTATTAGAGATAGAGCTACTTCCGATTAATCATGCTGCTATGAAAGGAAACATCCATTTTTAACCTAGGTGTACAATTTCTTAAGTAACTCTTACTGAATATTAATAAATTAAAATGTAAAGACAATTGAAATAAAAATTCAGACACCACATGAAAGTTGAGTGTGAGGGTACTCTTTTGTGACCATTTTATGCAAGTTAAACATACTGTCATCCAAATAACGTTTTTGTTTTTTCTCTTTTCTTCTTGTTATTGTTTCTTTTTTCCCTGGGCACAAACGGCTTGCTCCATCAATTTCTGGAAATTTAAGTACATTTAATCACGGTTTTTCTGTTAAATCTTTTTCTGATACAAATTTTAAAGTTTCTTGCTCTTTTTTTATTTTTATTTTACTTTCTTCAAGCAATATAGGGTTTTCGTTTAATTTCTGTTTAGCTTGTTTCAAACTAAGTTTTTTCTGTTCCCCTCTCTTTTGCATTCAAACATTTGATTGCTTTCTTTTCTTAAATTTTGGTTTTGCAATTTTTTTCCTAAAATTTGAAGAGAAAAAAAATGTTAAACGTCACAGAAATTATTTAGAAAAATTGCCAATATTTACTTCTCCGATAAGAAAAAGTTAAACTTAATTGATTTTCTTTAAAAATAGAAACAAATTAACACATTTGTTCCATTTTAAAAAATATCAATTAAAAGAAAATAGTTTTTTAATTATTAAAATTGTATTATGGTTATCTAACACATTGTCTCTTACATTGACTGTGTCTTCTCCTCCGTGGACTTGTTATGTCCACGGAG